CATTTCCCTACTATTTTGAAATAGTTACTCAAATGTCAGCTTCTCATTGAGGCTTCTCTTACTATCCTGTCTAACCCAATCTAACACTTCCTATTCTCCTTCCCTGCTTACAGTTTTTTCCTTATTATTTATCTCTATCTAATCTTACTATATAAGGTCTTCCTTATTTATCTTGTTTATTTTCTGTATTTTCCACTAGATTATTGAACCATGAAGGGATTTTTTTTTATTCACTTCTTAGTCCTTGGTATCCAGAACAGTGTCTGGTATGTAGTCAGTACCTAATATATAAATTTGTTGAAAATTTTAGAATTTCTGAGAGAGTATTGATAAGTATTTACAGTTGATTCATTCTAGGTGCTGGGGCCAATGTTAAAATATTCATTGGGGGCAATCTTAGAAGTCTGGACTAAGAGATCAGTCTGCTAAGACATTTTGCATCTTGCTTCTGAGCTTCAGTTAATGCAGCATAAAACAGAGATGTGATGGTATTATTAAACTTACAAACATATTTACTTTGGGAACAGAAAGATCTCTTTCCTCAAGACTTAAAAATGCTTTTTTAAAAAAAGATTTTATTTATTAGAGAGAGCGAGCACGAGCGGCAGGGAGGGGTAGAGGGAGAGGGAGAAGCAGACTCCCCGCTGAGCAGAGAGCCCGATGCAGGACTCGATCCCAGCTCCCTGGGATCTGAGCTGAAGGCAGACGCTTAACCGACTGAGCCACCCAGGCACCCTTAAAAATGCTTTATTAGAAGAGTTGTTTAAAAGGTTGGTATGTTAATATCTAGACCTTCTGTGATACAAAATTTGGATATTTGCTACTGTCTACCTAACAGTTCAATTTTAGGAATTAATCTGTATTGGGACTATAGAGTTCCACTCAGGGGGACAGTTTTTTCTTTTAATCAAAATATTATATGGAGTAATTAAGACAGTGTGGTATTAGTAAAAGAATAAACAGATCAGGGGCACCTAAGTGGCTCAGTCAGTTAAGCGTCTGCCTTCAGCTCAGGTCACGATCCCAGGGTTCTGGGATCAAGCCCTGCATCAGGCTCCCTGCTCGGCGGGAAGCCTGCTTCTCCCTCTCCCGCTCCCCCTGCTTGTGTTCCCTCTCTCGCTGTCTCTCTCTCTGTTGAATAAATAAATAAAATCTTTTAAAAAAAATAAAAAGAATAAACAGATCAGTAGTAAGGAATAGAAACTTAGAAATATACCAATATAGTCAATTGATCTTTGACAAAGGAGCAAAGGCAATACAAAAGAGGAAAGATAGTCTTTTTTAGGGCACCTGGGTGGCTCTGTCAGTTAAGCGTCTGACTCTTAATTTTTTTTTTTTAAGTTTTTATTTGTCAGAGAGAGAGAGAAAGAGAGCACATGCACGCGCAAGCAGTGGGGAGGAGGCAGAGAGGGACAAGCCTGGAAGCCGTCTCATGACCTGAGCTGAAGGCAGATGCTTAACTGATTGAACCACCCAGCCCTAAGTGTCTGACTCTTGATCTCAGCTCAGGTCTTGATCTCGATCTCGGAGTTGTGAGTTCAAGCCCTGTGTTGGGCTTCTCGCTCAGTGTGGAGCCTACTAAAAAGAAAGGGAGAGAGAGAGAGAGAAAAGATAGTTTTTTTGATAAATGATGCTGAAACAACTGGACATCCACATGCAAAAAAAATGAATCTAGACATAGACCTTATACCATTCACTAAAATTAGCTAAAAATGTATCACAGACCTAAATGTAAAATGCAGATCTATAAAACTCCTAGAAGATAACATAGGGGAAATCTAGATAACTTTGAGTTTGGTGGTGATTTTTTGGGTATAATGCCAAAGGCATGATCTATTAGAAAGAAAGGAGCAACAAACAGAACTTCTTTAAAATTAAAAATTTCTGCTCTGTGAGAGACACTGTTCAGAGAATGGAAGGATTAGCCACAGCTCAGGAGAATATATTTGTGTAAGACATATAAAGAACTTTTATCTAAAATATACAAAGAACTCTTAAAACTAAACAGTAAGAAAACAACCTGATTAAAAAATGGGTCAAAGAACCTCAACAAACACCTCACCAAAGAAGCTATGTTGGTGGCAAATAAACCATATGAAAAGACACTCCATATCATATGTCATTAGGGAAATGCAAATCAAAACAACAAGGTATCACTATACACCTATTCGAATGGCTATAATTTAGAGGACTGACAACACTAAATGTTGAGGAGGATAGGGAGCAATAGGAACTCTCACTCTTTGATAGTAGGAATGAAAAAATGGTACTGCCTCTTTTTGGAAGACAGTTTGGTGTTTTTTTTTTTTTCTTTCACAAGACTAAACATACCATACAATTTTTGTTTGTACCCATTGGTATTTACCCAAAGGAGTTGAAAGCTAATTTATACACAGAAACCTGCCCTTGGATGCTTATACATTCTGGAATAGACAAGACTATGGAGACAATAAAAAGATCAGTGGATGTGGGTGAGGAGAGAGAGATGAGTAGGCAGAGCAAAGAGGATTTTTAGGGCAGTGAAGAATAATCTTTATATTATAATGATGAATATATGTCACTCTACTTTTGTTCAAACCCACAACATAAAGAGTGAACCTTAAGGTAAATTGTGGACTTGATGATTGTGATGTGTCAGTGTAAATTCATCCTTGGGGGAAAAATAGTGTACCATTCTGGTGAGTGATGTTGGTAATGGCAAAAGCCATGCATGTGTTTGAGGCAGCAAATATATGGGAAATCTCTGTATCTTCCTTTCAATTTTGTTGTAAACCTAAACTGCTCTTAAAGAAAATAAAGTCTTGGGGTGCCTGGGTGGCTCAGCCGGTTAAGCGGCTGCCTTCGGCTCAGGTCATGATCCCAGGGTCCTGGGATTGAGCCCCGCATTGGGCTCCCTGCTCAGCCGGGAGCCTGCTTCTCCCTCTCTCTCTGCCTACTTGTTCTCTCTCTCTCTCTGTCAGATAAATAAATAAAATCTTAAAAAAAAAGAAAATAAAGTCTTTAAAAAAAATGGGGTATGTAAATGTTGCTTCCACTTTGGGTTTTGAGTCTTAAGACATCTGTGTGAGCACCCAGTGACGAACTGTACCTGTAAAGTAAAATCTGTCCTTCCCAAATCTGCTCTTCAGCACCCTTCATCCAAAACCTTGGATCACAGAGCAGCCTACACGGCTCATCGACACGCTCTTAGGAGGGTCCCCATCCTTGCTTTCTGAACTCCATTAAGCAGGAGTAAGACGGACTTTGTTTCAAAAGAGAAATTACCAAATCTCCACATTGAGGGAGACCTCCTTTTTTCTCAATCCAGCAGAGTAAAGGCTGACAAAACAACACAGTCTAAGCCAACACACTGTCTGTGGTGAAACTCTGAGGTTGTGTAACATTGGGATTTTGTAACCTTTTTTTTTTTTTTTTTTTTTATGATTTCACATTCTGAGATAGTAATTATGCCCAGGAAATTTTTCTTGAAGAAGTGGATAAATTTTCATTTTATAATTTAAGTGTTATTGTGTATCATCAGTAAAGATTGGATATGTATGCCAGTAACAGAAAACTTGATAAATACTGCCTTAAACAAGTGAGAATTTACTTTTCTCATGTAATGTGAATTCCAGGGGTAGGCAATCCATAGCTGATGCAGCTGCCGAAGGATGTCATCAAGGAACCAATATCCTATCTTCCTAGCTTACGGTTTTTGTCTTTTTGGTCAGAAGATGGCTGTTGTGGGGTGCATGGGTGGCTCAGTCGGTTAAGCAGCCCATTCTTGATTTTGGCTCAGGTCATGATCTCAGGGTCCTGGGTTCGACTCCCACCTTAAGCTCCACACTCAGCGGGGAGTCTGCTTCAGGATTCTCTCTCTCTACCCTGCTTCTTTGCGAGTGTGCGTGTGCTCTTTCTCTCTCCCTCTCTCTAAAATAAATAAATAAATCTTAAAAAAAGATAGCTGTTGTATTTCTGGAGACTTCATCAGAGTTTTCAGAAGGAAAAGAGGGAAAGATAAAGGGAAATCTCTTTCTAAGACTTTGTATTTTTCTGGTAGATAGTGGCCTCTCAGAGATTGATAACTAACTACCTTTTGTTGGCCAGAACTATGTTGGTATAACTTGGTATTTAACTCATCGTATCTGGAATTAGTATAGAATGGTGGTTAAGAGCATGGACCTAAGTTTGAAAATCAGTTGTGTTATTTCCTAACTGAGTATGATTTTAACATCTTTGTGCCTCAATTTCCCTCTATGAAAAGATTCTAATAATATGTACCTACCAACACTTTGTTGTTGAAAAGATTAAAGGAGTTAATATGTCATTATTTTAATGGATACCATTTGTACTATTTTAAGTATTAGTTATAATTTACCGTCTTCATTATATAGAAGAGTTACTGATATTGGAATTGTAAATTTGTCACTCAGGGAACTAATTTTTTTAGATAGGAAATAAAATAGCATTTGGATTAGGTGCTTTTGAGTATAGGGATGATTGAAAAAGATGGTAGAACTTTAAGGACTCTTGTGACTGCATTGCATTATTAAAAATTATGGGGCGCCTGGGTGGCTCAGTTGTTTAAGCGACTGCCTTCGGCTCAGGTCATGATCCTGGAGTCCCGGAATCGAGTCCCGCATCGGGCTCCCTGCTCGGCGGGGAGTCTGCTTCTCCCTCTGACTCTCCCCGCTCTCATGCTCTCTATCATTATCTCTCTCAACAAATAAATTTAAAAAAAAAAATTATGGGTGAGTTAAAGTATTGGGGCCATTTTAATTTACTCATTTAATTCATCTTAGAGCTTGATGACTTTTAGGACTGTCTTGAACAAATTGTCATTTTACCACCAATCCCCTAAAGCACGTTCATCTCAACCAAAATTCTGTCTTATTGATAGAATGTTTGAAGACTTAGCTATGTATCGATAAATGATTTTGTTGGTATTGTTACCAGCCTTGCCAATTTATAATCACTCTACTGAAAAAAAAATATCAATTACTTCTCTATTTTCTTTTTAGCCCTATCTGCTTTGATATGATTGAGGAAGCATACATGACGAAATGTGGCCACAGCTTTTGGTAAGATGATTTTATTTAGCAAAATTGTCTTGATTTTTAACTTGTGTAAATGCAGCCAGTGAGAAGTTAGGTTTTTAAAATAATTTTGGTTATCTTATAATTTCTTTGATACGTTTTTATAAGTTCAGCAGCTCAAGGCAGAAAGCATATGGTTGGTGCATAATTTCTGTGGAATACTTAGAGTTACTGTTGCCCTTACAGATGGATTTTAAAACTTTTGGGTTGATTAATTATTTATTATAGAGCTTTGATTACCGTTTTAGAAAATTGAGGGGTGCTGGATAATTAGGATGAAGCATGAAGCATCTTTAACTCACTTGTGGGGATAAGTGAGACCCAGTAAAGGAGGTTAGAAAGTCATTGGAAAAGGATATAGGGGGTTAAAAAGATCTGTGTTTTCTTCTTCAACATTTTGCTCAGTGTTATCGTTAGTTGCTTAGTCTTGTATATATGTCACATTAATCTGTATATTTAAAAAATGTTTAGTTGTGGTAAAATACACATAAAATTTACCATCTTAACCATTTTTAAGTTGAGTAATGTTAAGTTTGTTTGCATTGTTGTACAATCTCCAGAATTTTTTTATCTTGCAAAACTGAAACTATATACCCTTTGAGCAACTCTCCATTTCTCCCTTCCCCCCAGCCTCTGTCAATCACTATTTTACTTTGTTTTGTGAATTTGACTATTCTAGATACCTCATATAAGTGGCATCAAATTGTATTTTTGTGACTGGCTTATTAACTCACTAAGCATAATGTCTTTAGTTTCATCCTTGTTGTAGCATGTGTCAAAGTTTCCTTCCTTTTTAAGGGTGAATAGTGTTCCATTGCATGTATATATTGTATTTTATTTGTTCATCTGTTAATGGACATTTGGGTTGCCTTCACTTCTTAAATGTTTAGAATAGTGCTTTGAACATTGGTGTCTAAATATCTCCTTGAGGGCGCCTGGGTGGCTCAGTTGGTTAAGCAACTGCCTTCGGCTCAGGTCATGATCCTGGAGTCCCGGGATCGAGTTCCGCATCGGGCTCCCTGCTCGGCGGGGAGTCTGCTTCTCCCTCTCCCACTCCCCGTTTGTGTTCCCTCTCTCACTGTGTCTTTCTCTGTCAAATAAATAAATAAAATCTTAAAAAAAAAAAAAATCTCCTTGAGATTCTGGTTTCAGTTCTTTTGGATATATACCCAGCAGCAGAATTGCTGTATCATATGATAGTTCTGTTTAAGTTTTTGAGGAACCTCCATACTGTTTTCCATAGCTGCTGAACCATTTTACATCTCCCCCAGCAGTTCACAAGAGTTCCAGTTTTTCCACATTCTAGCCAACATTTGTCATTTTCTGTTTTTGTTTTTTTTTAAATAGTAGCCATCTTAATGGTTATGTAATCTGTGTTTGTTTAATTCCTTTTGTTTATTTTTTGTGTGTTTTTTTGATTGGGGGTGGTATATTCTGTTTGCAGTTGATCATGTCCATAAATTATTTACACTGTTGATACGATATTTTTGGCTTAATATTATGTGTTCTAATAGTCCTTATATTCTAATTCATGTTGAAGTCAGACCCATAATTTTATTATGAAGTTGAATGTAATATCTGGTAGATTGATATTCACTAGTCAAGTACTGGGTGTTATTACCAGTTTGTAAGTATTTTCGTTTGATTTGGAGCTTGATGCATCAGTGTTAGGTATATCCAGTCTGCCAGTCATTTAAAAAGAAGTTTAGAATAAAAATCGCTTTCTTAGCTTGGACTATGTTTTTTATTAAAATATAAGTTATTAAAATAAACAATATGTACTCTTGGCTAAAAAACAACTCTTACTGTCCAGAAAGCTGTAACATGAAATGTAAATGTCACAATTTTTCTAGTCTTTTTTTTTTTTTGGTCTACCTCCTCAGAGGTTATGGTAAGGAGTAATGGTGTGTCCTTCAGAATTTTTTTGCTGTTTTTTTAAAAAAAGGCCATCTTGCCTTAAATAATATGGATTTCCTGCTATATCATTGCATTGACATTATTATGGTTCATGAATAACTTTCTGCTCCTTATTGCTACTGAAATTCTGGTCATGTGTGTCTTGCTTTTAGATTGATACATGTATGGTCTTGGTCTTTCCAGGCTTATTGTTTAACAGTAGTGTTTCCTTTGGTCCATTAATTGACCTAGCACCATAGCATTCTATGGGAAACCATGGAGACTTGATCTCTGGAAAATTGGGTGATTTAGATTAGGCTTTCTCTGCCTTTGGTAGTATTGAATATTGGACCAGATAATTCCTGTTGTGGGTGATTATCCTGGGTATTGTAGATTGTTTAGCAGTATCCCTGGCCTCTACCCAGCAGCAGTCCCTTTTCTCACAAGTGTGACAACCAAAAATGTCTCCAGACATTGCCAGATATCTAGTAGGGGACAAAATTGCCCACATCTGAGAAATACCGATACAGAGTTAAAAAGCAGGGTCTTGAAGTTGGTAAACCAAGATTCTGGTTCTGGCTCTAAAACTTAACATTTGTCCAGTCGCTCAACTGGTCCCTTTTGTTGTCTCCCTTTACCCTCCTCCCCCTTTTCTTCCTACTCCTTCACGTCCTCTTCTTTTTTTTTTTTTTTTTAAGATTTTATTTATTTATTTGACAGAGAGAGAGACAGCGAGAGGGAACACAAGCAGGGGGAGTGGGAGAGGGAGAAGCAGGCTTCCCGCTGAGCAGGGAGCCTGATGTGGGGCTTGATCCCAGGACCCTGGGATCATGACCTGAGCCGAAGGCAGACGCTTAACGACTGAGCCACCCAGGCGCCCCACGTCCTCTTCTTTTATAGTTTAGAAGGTGCAGATGTTTGGTACAAATTATAAAGTGAGGATTTAATTTTTCCTAACTGCCTTCTTCTAACTTATATATTCACTGTGGCATTTTAAAAGGACACTGAAGAGTCTGCTAAATAAGTACAATAATCTTGCTTCGCTGTGTTGTGATGTGTAATAAATTACTGATTGACTTTATGATTAAATAGGCCTGGCCTTTCCAATGAGTCCTGTAATTTTCAAGGTGTGTCCTTAGGTCATCGTTGGAAAACCCCACTGGTTTCTTAAATATGTTTTTCCCTTCAAATAAAAATAGTTTCAGTTTAGATACTTGTTATAACTCAAGTGATGTTATAACCTGAGTGTGTTTTAAAATATGAATGTGTTTTAAAATACCTACCAGGTTTTGGTAGGATAAGAGACCATAAAGTTGAGAGGAGCTGGTAAACCTGGAGGCTGGCAGCCCATTGTCAGGCTTGTGAAACTGTGAGACATTTTGTACTTTTGTTTAAAGCAAAAGCTCATAATTATTTACCCTATCCTATCACATGAGGCCATTGGAGCTTCATTAACGGTAGCCTATTGGATCAAATCTTCGCTAACTTGAACGCTGGCTAGTAATCTGGAGCAAAGCAGTGTTAGCATTTTCAGGCTCCGTCCAAATTATTAACACTAAATCATATTGGACCACGTGAACTGTTTATCCCTCGTCTCACTTATAAATGGTAACTCTTCCCTAGTAACAGGTTGGAGATACTGTTCCCACTTGACAGTGAATCTGCTATTAGCTGTTGTCTAACCAAACTTAATGATATGATAAAATAAAAATATCTGGCTTCTTTGTGATGTAGCGATAAGGTTTGCTCTTTCCCTTTGCCACCTCCTGCTTGCCCCCTGCACCTTGCTTCTCAAACCTCATGTCTACCAAGTTCTGATTTACTATTTTTTATTACAAATTAATTATAATTAATAGCCTATCTCAGTGTTGTTCATCTTCCAGCATATCTGTGGTCCAAGCTGGGTATCAGCTTGTCTTTTGGGGCTTTTGAATAATTTATCATCTTGTACCTTGCTATTAGTCTTTCTTTATACTCAGTTATTATATAGGACCACTGTACTGATTTGTCCTTGCTGTTCTTGTTATAGTCTCTTCTTTTTTGAGAATTTTCTGATTATTCACAGTTTTTTATATGTACTCACCGCTGTTTACAGAGAGAGAAAAAGATGTTTATGATAAGGTCTCCATTTACCCTAGTGTCTACAATTACTTATAGAAAAATGAGGAGAAATCGGAAAGTTTGTGTATTGGGGGTGGGTGAATAGAGGGCTTCAGAAAACATTCGAAGAAGTTTTTAGATGGTTAAAGTGGCATAGTGTTCTGTATATTACAGGCAGTTCCCAAATAAAAATTATGCCCTAAAAGCTTAAAAAGAAAAAGAAAAAGATATTTATATCTTATAGGTAGGTTATACTTTTTTTATTTTTTTGGTAGGTATAACTTAATAGAAACAGAATAATCATACATTTATAGAGAAATATTCATTTAAAAAATTATACAAGTATAGTTGACACAATTGTTATATTAGTTTCAGGTGTACAACATAGTGATTAGACAATTCTGTACATTACTTGGTGCTTACCACCGTAAGTGTAGTTACCAGCTGTCACCATACAGTGTTAACAATATTATTGAATATAATCCCCATATTGTTCTCTTCATCTCCGTGACTTACTTATTTTGTAATTGGAGGTTTGTATTCGTCAATCCCCTTCACCTATTTTGCCCATGTCCCCATCCTCCTCCGTTCTGGCAACCACCAGTTTGTTCTTTGTATTTATGAATCTGTTTCTGCTTGTTTGATTGTTCATTGGTTTTGTTTTTAGATTCCACATATAAATGCAATCATGTGGTATTTGTCTTCTTCTGACTTCATTTAGTATAATACCCTTGAGGTCCATTCATGTTGTTACAAAGGGCAAAATTTCAAAATATTCATTCTTCATTATCAGATATACACTTAAACCCATTTATGTCAGCACATTCTGGTACTGAATTACTATTTTTAAGAGTTTCAGTGTGAGTAGCTTTTGAAAACTTCTCAGGTAGACCCAAGATATATATCCCTTTATCCCCCCTATTTTGAACACTAGTCTAGATACTTATCCTTCTTTTAGAATCCAAAATACCACATCTGTGGTGGTGATGGTCAAGTAGAGTTACTGTGAAAGAAATAATTGAGAATCTCTGGTGGTGTTTTATATGACCCAGAAGACATGTTTCTTTTTTGTTTATACCTATTTTTTTTGTGCATTGAACATTTACTTAGTTCAATTCTAACAGGATATAGTGCTAGGCATTGAGGGTACAGAGATGACTTAAAACAAATCCTTGCTTTGAATGAACAAATAGAAGAGGGGATGACAGTACAAAATAAGATAGTTACTATTTCTCAAACTAGGGCAGGTCTGCCCAGGGGTGGTAGTAAGGTAGTAGATACTATTAGATAAACTTGATGCATTTTGCATGTCAGTTTTATACAGTGATATGTAATTTGATGCATTTTCATTTTATAGTATAGATAGATATTACCAATGCAATGTGCAAAAGTCATTTGAATTTTTGTTCCTGAGGACAGTTCCTTCTCACTGTGTCCTGGACTACTTTTTCTTCTAGGAGAGGATTGTGTGGTAGTAAACCTATTGACAAGGGATATGATTAGGATGCTGAAGATAGGAGAGGAGGATATTCTATTGGACTCAGGGATTCTTGTCTATTGACAGACTCTTTCACTCAGTTAACAACTTAGCTTGTTCTTCTTACCATATTATTTGCTCATTTCTAACTATCATTTCTTTACAAAAGCCATTTGCTAAAACCCAGAATGTCCTTCTGCTTATCTGTCAACCCCTTGTCTCATCTTTAATAACCTTCCCAGAGTTTCTACTTCATGACTTGGTTTATTTGAACTTGCAGACTTTTTTAAGGGTTAATCTTGTCATTTGGGAATATTTTCTGGTAATATGAACTCATTTCTGTTTTCCCAAAGCAGACTATAAGTGTTTCTGTGTTGTAATTGCATAACTGCTTTATGCTTTTCCCTTGCAATAGAAATGAAAACAAGAACATTTTACATATTTCCTTCACTGAAATTTCTACATAGGAAATTTTCTGTTAGATATGGAGCCTATCATGTGGTAATATGGTAATCCTAACCTTGTCATAGTTGCAAGAGGTGATGTTATTTCTGGAACACTGTACAAGTCATTTGTTTTATATATATTTGAGTATCTGTTATGTGCCAGCCATTTACTTAGATCTTTAGGTCCTTGTGCTGTGCCAAAGACCAGCACTGCATTAGTTCTCTATGATGTCCTTTTTATTTATTTATTTATTATTTTTTAAAGATTTTTATTTTGATAGAAATACAGCGAGAGAGGGAACACAAGCAGGGGGAGAGGGAGAGGGAGAAGCAGGCTTCCTGCCGAGCAGGGAGCCCGATGTGGGACTTGATCCCAGGACCCCAGGACCATGACCCGAGCTGAAGGCAGATGCTAAACGACTGAGCCACCCAGGCGCCCTATGATGTCCTTTTTAAACTTATCTTGAAAGTACCAAATGTGAGATGAAAAAGTAGTTGTTAATTAGTACAGAGAAACCTGATGGATGTGGGTTTCTGTTTTCATAAGGTAGAGTGAAGTAAGTAGGTTATAAAAAAGTAGCTTCGGGGCGCCTGGGTGGCTTAGTTGTTAAGCATCTGCCTTCGGCTCGGGTCATGATCCCGGGGTCCTGGGATCGAGCCCCACATTGGGCTCCCTGCTTGGCGGGAAGCCTTCTTCTCCCTCTCCCACTCTCCCTGCCTGTGTTCCCTCTCTTGCTGTGTCTCTCTCTGTCAAATAAATAAGTAAAAAAATCTTTAAAAAAAACCAAAAAGTCGCTTCAACTTATAAAGCTGAAGTAAATTTATAGTAATTTGGATACAGAATAAAAGAGGTGGTATCTTTTTAGGAATCTTCTTTATAAATCACCCTTGTAATTTCTTAGAAGTAATTTCTTTTCTGATTGTTAGGAGCAGTGCCTTTTTACTATAGAAACTTGTAGACATCTAAAAAGAAAAAGTTTCCCATGATTTTATGACCCAGAGACATACATGTTAATATTATGATGAATGTCTTTTTTAGTTTATTTTAAATGGATACATACGCAATTTTTTAAAAACAGAAATGTGATTGTACTGTATCCACTATGTTAGAGATTGTCATTTTTAGTTCATAAAAAGTGATATAGTGACTTTTTTTTCTAATGTCAATTTGATATTTTTTTGTGGTTTTTTGGAACAATATTTTTTTTAAAAGATTTTATTTAGGGGTGCCTGTGTGGCTCAGTCGGTTAAGCAGCTGCCTTCAGCTCAGGTCATGATCCCAGGGTGCTGGGATCGAACCCCAAGTCCAGCTCCCTGCTCAGCGGGGAGCCTGCTTCTCCCTCTCCCTCTGACTGCCTCTCTGCCTACTTGTGCTCTCTCTGTATCTCTCTGTCAGATAAATAAATAAAATTTTTGAAGATTTTATTTATTTATCTGACAGAGAGAGACACAGCGAGAGAGGGAGCACAAGCAGGGGGAGTGGGAGAGGGAGAAGCAGGCTTCCCACGGAGCAGAGAGCCCGATGCGGGGCTCAGTCCCAGGACCCTGGGATCATGACCTGAGCTGAAGGCAGACGCTTAACGACTGAGCCACCCAGGCACCCCGAAAAATTCATCTTTAAAAAAGAAAAAAAGATTTTATTTATTCGAGAGAGGGAGAGCATGAGCGGGAGTGCGGGAGTGGCAGAATGACAAGCAGACTCCCTGCTAAGCAGGGAGCCCAAAGCAGTATTCCATCCCAGGACCCTGGGATCATGATCTGAGCTGAAGGCAGAGCCCAACCGACTGAGCCACCCAGACTCCCCTAGTTGAACAATATTTAAAAAGTTTTTTTATTATAAGACAATATATAATTGTAAAAAGTCATACATTACAGAAATATATATCGTAAGGAAGGAAACATTCTTGTAATCCTCTTTCTTTAGCTATAACCACTGTTATTAGATTATTTTTCACGGCATATAGTTATGTATTGCAATATGATTTTTTGGGTTTTTTTTGGATTGATGTTTACAAAATTAGTCAATTTCCTAGTGTTTTGGTTGCTTCTAATTTATTTTGCTATTTACAGATAATCTTGAATTGAGCACCTTTCTATGTATATACCTCTGCTCATTTCCTTAGGGTAAATTCCTAGAAATAAAATCATTACACCAAAGGAGATACACAACCTTAAGGTTTTCCATACAACTTGCCTTCTGGAAATGTTGTGGCAGGTACATTTCCTTCAACAGTACATGAAGTTGTTTATACTCACATGTGCTCCTTAACTCTGATAGTATTTTCTTTAATTTTCCAATTTGGTAAAAAATAGTATATAATTTAAAATCAATTTTTTTATCCTACTGAAGGTGATGATTTTCTCATGCTTATTGACTAATGTTTGTCTTGTTGATTTTTCTGTTTTTCACTTTTTTTTAATTTGAATGTGTTCTTTTTGTATTTAAGGATATCAGCACTCCAAGAACATGAATAGTGTATTTGCTTAACTAAATCATAGGCATTTGCTTTTCTTGGGTGTTGTTACAAAGTATTTAAATTGCATAAACTTAAAAGTTAGTACATTTTTTTAAACATTCTATATCCAGTAGACTTGTTATTCAAGTTCATTTTTAAATATTAACTTTTGTATACTGTTATCTAATAAATGCTCTATGTATCTTTATTATGATAAAATATAAGCTGAAATAAATTTGATAACAAATTACTTGTTTTAAATGAGAAATAGAAGACTTATAGGCATTAATTTATGACCAGTTTATTAATCCTTCACTGATTTAATGAACCCTATTTTATTTTTTTTTTTGCTAATAGCTACAAGTGTATTCATCAGAGTTTGGAGGATAATAATAGATGTCCCAAGTGTAACTATGTTGTGGATAATATTGACCATCTGTATCCTAATTTCTTGGGTGAGTCTTTGGAATGATTCTTTATTATTTAAAATATTCTATCCCCAAAAGTGTATGCTAGCACTAATTTATTCAGAAAACATAGTGTAGGGGTAAAGCAAGTCTTTCTCTCCTACTTACCTGGGTGCTTTCCCGGTCTTTGTTATTTTGTGATGTATTTTCCATACTATGTGTTGTTAGTACTATATTATATTGTTTTTAAGTTTCATAAAAAAAGAAAAATTGACTGACACAACTCTTAGTTCTTACTACATAGATGATGGGACAGAAGTTAAAGGGGATGCCAGAGGTCCAGAATACCTGTCTCTTTATACAGTGTAGTGCATTCCTGCTGTTTGTGCTTCTAGGGTAGAAGTGAGAGTCAAGGGAAGAAAGTGTTAATGGAGAGGGGGAAGAGGAGGTGGAAACTTGGGTAATTGGATTCCTGGATAGGTGAAGAGAGTCTGTGAACTGGGGAGGCAATTGAAAAGTAAGAACTTGGAGAGGGAACTTAGGAAAAGAAGAAATACTGAGTGGTGTGATACTCTGCAGGACTGGACTTTATGGGCTAGGTTTGGTAGAAGGGAAATGAAAGTCCTGCAAAGCAAAATCCTGTGTCCCTGAACTCGGACACACATGGATTGATGCTGCTGTGTGGGCTCTAGAATTACTTTCCTATCAGTTGTCATAACGTTGGAAAACTTCTTTTGGAATGTTTAAATACAGAAAGGAAGCTAATCTTCCGACAATTTTGGTGTTTACTAAAATTTTCAGGCAACATTCTTTAACGAGTCCAAAAGGTGGAGATTCCTTTATGTGAATTTCTAACTAGAGGGAGCACTATATACTAGTATGGAAGAACTTTCAAAATATAGCACTGTTTTAGTTAGAAAGTGATTTCATACATTAAGTATATATTCTCACATATATCCAGTGAATAGTGAAGTTACACTTACTGATTTTCTGAGCTAGAAATTATCTGGGTGATGTTCTAGTTTTTAACCTCTTTTTATGGATAATAAATTTTTGTTTTGGATAATTGGAGTGTAAGTATGTTATGCCCATATTTGAAGTCTTTTAATTATAGTGCAGCTTCTAATGTGATTATGAATGTCAGCCATGGAAATAACATTTTATGCTGATACATCTTTTCCTGTTTTTCTTCCCATCATCCCTTCCACTCTACTATTTGTACAATAATAGTCAAATTCATAGGTTCCCACATTAGGTAGATGGGGATCCTCTGTGCATTTAGGATGCCATTGAGATCTATTTCTGAATGGAATTCCATTTTTTTTTTTCTTTACTGAAAAAAACTCAGAATTCTAAGTTCTTATTTCCATTGCTTCAGCATGAGATTACGTGATTTATTTGTGTGGGTGCCTGTCATTCTTGGTTGGGTTGAGGACCATGAACCTTTTGAAGTAATTTCAGATTTCTTCTTGACCATGGTAAAATAAGTATATGTTTTACAATATTGAAGGCTACTAGGTAGCCTTGCACTTTTTTTATTGTTAGGTTACGACCTTTACTTAATTTATTTAAAGATTTTATTTATTTATGTGTCAGAGAGAGAGGGAGAGAGCACAAGCAGGGAGAGTGGCAGGCAGAGGGAGCCCGGTGCAGAACTCGATCCCAGGACCCTGGGATCATGACCTGAGCCAAAGGCAGATGCTTAACCGACTGAGCCACCCAGGCTTCCCAGGACCCTTCCCTTTTAATACTGTACATTTACCTGAGTCATGGGTAAAGGGCTGAACTATGCATTTTCTGTAGCAGTGGTCTTCAAAACTTTTTGCTTGGGTGACTCATAAAGATTCTGAAAAATGATGTTCTTCGTCACACATTGATCCCCTATTTAAAATTATCATCCTCAATTTTTCTTTATAAGTGGAAGTGGTTGTAAAGGATGTAACTTTAGGAGTATTATAAATCTGGTTATTTAAAAATAAAGCTTTTATCTCTTTTTAAAATGTATCCAGTGAGAGGCTCCTGGGTGGCTCAGTTGTTAGGCGTCTGCCTTCGGCTCAGGTCATGATCCCAGGGTCCTGGGATCGAGCCCCACATTGGGCTCCCTGCTCAGCGAGAAGCCTGCTTCTCCCTCTCCCACTCCCCCTGCTTGTGTTCCCTCTCTCGCTGTGTCTTTCTCTGTCAAATAAATAAAATCTTGAAAAAAAAATAAATAAAATGTATCCAGTGAAATCTAAATCATAGTGATTTGGTATTTATCATTTATTTGAAAATAGACACCTTTCATTAACAATGGGAAATTTTATTCATTCCTTTTCTCTTTGAACTTCTACTTAAGTTATCGTCCACATAATTTTTTTTTTTAAAGATTTTATTTATTTATTTGACAGAGAGCACAAGTAGGCAGAATGACAGGCAGATGGGGAGGGAAAACAGGCTCTCCGCTGAGCAGGGAGCAGGATGTGGGGCTCGATCCCAAGACCCCAGGATCATGACCTGAGCCGAAAGCAGCCACTTAACGGACTGAGCCACCCAGGCGCCCCCCACATAATTTTATCCTTATATAATGTATTTTCACGTTTGAAATCCTATCGATCTATCTGTAATACTTTTCTGTAACAGAAATGTATATAAATAGAAACTATAGACATAGAAATGTTTTTTTTTTTTTAAAGATTTTATTTATTTTTTGACAGAGAGAGACACAGCGAGAGAGGGAACACAAGCAGGGGGAGTGGGAGAGGGAGAAGCAGGCTTCCCGCAGAGCAGGGAGCCCGATGCGGGGCTCGATCCCAGGACCCTGGGATCATGACCTGAGCCGAAGGCAGACGCTTAACGACTGAGCCACCCAGGCACCCCAGAAATGTTTTTTTTTTAACATAATTTTTTATTAAGCATTTAAAAATCTCAAATATTTTTTCTGGGTTATTATTGAGTCATGAGTAGTATGCAGTTGGTCAAATATTTACAAATTTTATAAAGTATTAGACAAATATTTATTGAAAATGTACTGCTTATTAAGGTTTGGTGCCTTTTTTTTTTTTTTTAAAGATTTTACTTATTTATTTGACAGAGAGAGACACAGTGAGAGAGGGAACACAAGCAGGGGGAGTGGAAGAGGGAGAAGCAGGCTTCCCGCTGAGCAGGGAGCCCGATGCAGGGCTCGATCCCAGGACCCTGGGATCATGACCTGAGCCGAAGGCAGACGCTTAACGACTGAGCCACCCAGGCGCCCCGGTTTGGTGCTTTTCTTAGTTAGTTCTAGTACCCTTGGAAGTTATTACTAGGACAAGGAATCAGTTTCATTTGTATTCTTCTTATTTTTTTGTTTATTCATTTATTTAGGATCATCATAGTTTTTTAAAATTTGAGATATAATTGATATATAACATTATGTAACTTTAAGGTTTTTCTTTTTAGTTTTAAAGTGTAAGTCTTGAGAAACTTTGCTTACATGAATAAGTTGATGGGGATTGAAGGAATTTTGTTAATAGTAATGTCACTCAGTTTTTTGACTTCGTTCTGACTTAAGAAATTAAGAAAAAAAGCATTGACTTATAAAAAACAGTCTTAATGCTCAGTTAGTTAACAAGTCAAGTCTTTTCTTTAATTTTGATGAAAGCAAAGAATTGGAAGCCAAACACTCAAAAAAGATTTGGTTTTCAGGTCATTATAATCATATAATTTTTTGTCAGGTACTTTGATTTTTCCTTTCCTGCCCTAAACACTATACCACAGACCCTTTTTCTTCTGACTTCCCTTCCCCCATCTCTTCTTCTACCTTCCATTGTATTCTTTTTCATTCTCTCCTTGTACCTTCGCTTCTCCAACACATTCACTATTCTTTCCATCCTACTTGGTCTTGAGAGCTCTTTTTCTTTTTCCCCGTTACTAGAAGGTTCTTGCAAGGTGTAGTCTTCCTGTCCCTGTTGCCATCTATCCTGCCCCCGCCCCCCCAAAATCCTGCAATTGCTCTCCTCTGCTCGTGCCAAGACTTGCTCTCTAGCTCTCCCTCTCCCTCTCTCCAACTGCCTGCCTCCATCTCTCTCCCTCGCTCAGTCTCTTTTCCAGCTTTCTGTGTCTGTATTTAAAAATGATAATTGGAATTTTATCTCCCTTATGAATAACGTTATTATTCTTTGAAGAGACTACCTGAATGCTAAATTTAAAATACGTGTTTTAAAAAAAATAGAGCATATAACATCCTTACTATTGCCAGGTAGTGTCCTAAGTGCTTTGTGTAAGCTAACTCATTTAATTTTCAGTCCTATGAGATGGGTACTCTTGTTATCATCCTCATTCTTCAGGTGAGGAAACTAAACTAAGGCACAGAGAATTTGGGTTACTTTTATAAAGTTATACAGTAGTATTGGTGGAATTGGGATTTGGTCCTAAGCAGATTGTCTCACAAGTATATGTGCGTTAACTATACTCTCCTGCTTCTAAAAAGATAGTTACTAGAATGGAAGCTTTAGCAGTAGAATTGCATTGTTTGTTCTTAGTACTGTGGCCATTTTATGGATCCAGAGAATTATAATTGTGGATATAGAATATCCTTCAAGTTCAGTGATACACGAGATTTCTCAGTAAAATGCAGTTTGGTATACATGTGTAAAATATTACAGTTTAAGTCACAGTTTTTTGGTTTTTTTTAAAGATTTTATTTATTTGACAGAGAGAGACACAGTGAGAGAGGGAACACAAGCAGGGGGAGTAGGAGAGGGAGAAGCAGGCTTCCCGCCGAGCAGAGAGCCTGATATGGGGCTCGATCCTAGGACCCTGGGATCATGACCCGAGCCGAAGGCAGATGCTCAACGACTGAGCCACCCAGGTGCCCCTAAGTCATAGTTTTTATTCCAATGGTTAATTCTGTAACTGAAACATTAAACTCTTATTTATATACTTCTCTTTATTCCCACTACATTATTTCAAGCTCTCCTTTCTCTTCCCTGGGTTATAATAGTAACTTTGCTTGTGAGATACATACCAGGCTCTTCAGAATCAGGCTCCCATCTATCTACATTTGCAGCCTGAATTCGTCACCCATTAATCCTTAACAAAGTCACTTTGACCCTGTGATTCAGCCATATTGATTTAAAATCATCTTATCTCCTGCTCTTGTATGAATTTAACCCCCTCTTTCTCACACCCTTCTCTGAATTCTTTTTTTTTTTTTAAGATTTTATTTATTTATTTGACAGAGAGAGACACAGCGAGAGAGGGAACAACACAAGCAGGGGGGGGAGTAGAAGAGGGAGAAGCAGGCTTCCTGCAGAGCAGGGAGCCCGATGTGGGGCTTGATCCCAGGACCCTGGGATCATGACCTGAGCCGAAGTCAGACGCTTAACGACTGAGCCACCCAGGCGCCCCCCTTCTCTGAATTCTTTTTCACTTCTTTTTCTGCTTGATGAATCTCTGCACGTTATGGCCGAATTCTAGTGTCACCTTCTATGTGTAGCCTGCTCATTTATACTTTGATTGCTCCTTGTCCTGTGTTCTTTGTAAGTCTACTTCAATGATAGTACTGATTATCACATTACGTTATAACTACTACATCATATATATTTGTCTTCCTACTCAGAGTTGCTTGAGTCTTAGATTGAATCTTACTTAGTTTGAGTCTTATTTATCTTTGAAGCTTGGATTCCTATTATGGGCTTGATACATCTCTGGTTTGTTTGGAAATACTTATAGTTGGATTGTGGTATAATGGAAAGTATTAGATAGTTGGATTTGTATCCCAACTCTGTTTTGTATTGTCACCGTAAGTGCTTGATGCTCCCTCTAATACTCCCTCATCTCTAAAATGGGGAGAATAACCCATAGGATAATGTCTAAAAGTACTAGCCTAGTGCTAAATGATTTAGTGCTAGTTTCTTTTTCTTTATCAGATTTTTTGTTGTTTTTGTTTGTTATCAGTTAATTGTTAAAGACAGAAGAAAAGAATTTGTAGAATTGGTTAATTCAGTGGTTCAGTGATATGATCAAGTTCTTTCCATCTTTCTATTCCTCCATCCCAGCATGTATTGGTTCTTTGACTAGCTCCCCTCAAGATTGCAGGATGGCTCTGAGCAGTTCCAGATATCATCTCTTAATGAAGGGAGGGAAAGAATTTGTTTTCTTCCTATTCATTTCTTTCTGAAAGACAGCATACCCTTCATTGGTTAAAACTAGGTCACGTACTTAATCCCATTGTCAATTATTGCAAGGGTATGAATGCCTAGATTGGCTTAGGTTAGTCAAGAATCATACCATTGGGCTGGGGTGAAACCTAGCTTTTCTGAAAGCATGTGGCTTGGAAAAAAATTACGTTGTTTTTAAAAAAGGGGGGAATGGTTTTGGATAGGTAACACAGTATCTGCTATGATATTTATAGGAAAGTAACAGAAAGAAGAACAAATAAAAATCCTTAGTGTCTGCCTTACAGAATCAACCAGGTACCATGTGGAGGACGGAGCAGCCTCACACAGTGCTGATAGTGTCATCATTGAGACGTGTACGAGGAAGCCCGTATTCCAGAGAATTCTCCTTTAGTAATAGCAGTAGTAATAATAGCAGTTGTAGCATTAGAATTTGTGGCAAAATTGTTTTCTAATTTGAAATAAAGTGAAAACCTAATATTTTCTGCTTAGCATCTTTTTAATTTGGGGACTTTTAAAAGTGAAAATAGAACCCATTTAAACAGAACAATTAGATGATACATTTAACAATAATACAAATTTTAGGTACTTTTTGTTTTGTTTCTCTTTTCAGTGAATGAGCTCATTCTCAAACAGAAGCAAAGATTTGAGGAAAAGAGGTTCAAATTGGACCACTCAGTGAGTAGCACCGTATGTTTCAACTCTTATTACTATTTTTTAATAAATTTCAGTTTGTTTTTATTGGTTAATTAGATATTAAAGCTTAGTATGTCATTGATTTTTTTTTTAAGAAAATTGAAGATTATTCTGTTTAATAGAGAACTTTGCTAACTGCATTGTCTGAAATTTAGTGATCATCTTTTGAAAGGTCTTCTGGGATCACATTGAGTCAGAGTTGGCTTGTAATACACAACATTTGGAGGATTATATGGCAGGGTGGAACTATGGTTGGTAATTTGGAAAAACTGTTGGAAGATTCTCAATTTAAGAGAATCAGTCCTAAATTATTGAGGGAAGTGAGCCTAAATTAATACCTTACCAAGTACAAAGTTGAAAATATGGCTAGACAATATCTAAAATATGGCTAGATTGATTCAAGGGAGAAATAGTGTTTAATTTATAATTAGAAGGCTATGGGGAACCATTGGCTAGGAAGGTGTAGGTTAGAATATTGTATTTTTGATATCTTTGTAATAAACATATTAGGAAGAAGCAGTTAAACATTTATTTTAGGCTCCCTAAAACAATCTTCTTAGGAAGTTAACTGTGTTTCTTCATTTTTAGAATGGCCACAGATGGCAAATATTTCAGGATTTGTTGGGAACTGATCAAGATAACCTTGATTTGGCCAATGTCAACCTCATGTTGGAATTACTAGTGCAGAAGAAGAAACAACTGGAAGCAGTAAGTGGCAGTTGAACTTTAAAAATTTTTAAGTGGTGGTCTTTATTGCATTGAAAAAGATCTAGAAATGTTTAAAAATAATAGGGTAGTGTCTATCACTTAGTCCATCCAATTTTATTCAGTAAGAAAGAGCATGTGCAAGGTATCACTTCTAACAGATTCCTCTTTTTCAAGTAAAAGAAAAGACAAATTTCTTATATAAGTTGTAGTGGCCAGTTTATATTAAGAAAAACTGAGTGATAAGAAAGATCATGAGAAAGTACAGTTTCATTTTAATAGGGAACAATTACATTGGTCATTTTTCTTCTAATGGATATATTCCTTGCCAATCTTCCCTTTGGAAGAGAAAATAGAGATTATTTTTACCTACATAAGATCCTTTTAGCAGTTATCTGTTGGTGGCACCTGTAAATAAAGACATTTAGAAAGATGGGAACTGGAAATAAATATATCCTGTTTCATGTAATAAAATGTAAATAAATGTAAAATTGCATTTATTTCATGTAAATAAATATAAACAATATAAAATGTTTATATTTATAAACAATATAGTGAATTTGCATGTATTAGGATTTGAATATGATCCATTAGGAGCAACTCACACCTTAGCATAAGTAGATTCCCCCCTGACCTAGCTTAAACAAAAAGGGGGTATCTGTTGACAGGGTAAGGGAGTGAGTAGCTGACATACGTGAAAAAGAACAGTTTAACAGCCGAATATTGGGAGGATTGGAACCATAGCCAGCTTCTCTGGAGACTGTAAGGAGATGAGATCAGGCACTTGAATGTTGTTGGATCTTTCTTTGGTGCTTCTCGTGTCTATTTCTTCGAGACAGGTCTGATTTTCTTTTCTCAGATGTTTATAACATAATGTGGTTATTTGCACTTTCTTCATTTATGTTTTTTGATAGAAGAAAAGGGACTTTCCAATTTCAGTTTAAAAAATTCTGTGGGTGGATTATTAATATAGCTTAGATCTGGATTCCTTCTGATCAAATGGGAATCTTTATAGAAGAAGGGAGTAGTTGAGGTTATGCTTACCAAAATGATTATCCCATTCTGGGAGGGGGGCAAGGCTGGTAGAAATTTCTCCCATATTTTTTGGGAGAGGGGGCTTTATCTTTTATTTATTTTTTTCTTTTAGTTTTACTGAGGTATAATTGACATACAGCACTGTATAAGCTTAAGGTATACAGCATAAATAATGACTTGACATACATGTATTGTGCAGTGATTACCACAGTTCTCTTCCTTTGCCCCCCCCCTGCACACATGTGTTCGTTCTCTTTCTCTCTCTCAAATAAATAAATAAATAAATAAATAAATAAATAAATAAATAAATAAATAAATCTTTGTAAAGTAAATTAGGCTCTATGCTGGGCATGGACCCTACTTGGGATTCCGTCCCTCTCTCTCTTGCACATACCTGTGTGTGTGCTTGTGTGCGTGCTCTCACTCTCTCTCTCTCAAAAATAAATAATAAAAAAATTGAAAGAAGTTTATATAAAAAGTTTCATATTGTAATTACCCTTTTGACATATGCCTCTTTGTTTAGTTTTTGAGGTTTGTGTTGGTAAATGTAGATCTAGTTCATTTTAACTTATGTATCGTAATCCATTGCATGAGCATATCTATTCCCCTATGGTGGACATTTATGTTCTTCCTAATTCTTAGCTGTGTCACTACTACATTTAATATTGTTATACATGTTTCCTTGTGCTCATGTATATACACTTAGTGATTTAAGGAATGAAATTACTTTTTATAGATGTGCACATTTTAACTTACCAGATATTTCCAGGTTGCTCTTTGGGTTTGTCCTATATAGACACCTGGTATTTTCTCGTTTTTAGCTGTTGCTAATCTGACAGTAGTCCGGGGGAGGGGTGTGTGTGTGTTGGATGTTGCTACTGTGTGTGTGTGTTTTGGATGTTGCTATTGTGTGTGTGTGTTTTGGATGTTGCTACTGTGTGTGTGTGTGTTTTGGATGTTGCTACTTTTGGTAATTGAATTTTAGTTGTATTGTGGTCAGACAACATGATTTATATGATTTTAGATTGGGTATTTTTCTTGATTCCATTTTATTTGCTTTGTGGGTTTATCATGGTAAGTTTCAGTTTTGTTTCCTAGTGGTTGCTTTTGTTTTGTTTTGTTTTTATTAGATTTTATTTATTTGAGAGAGAGAAAGAGAGAGGGAGAGAATATGGGGGGAGGGGAGAGCAGAGAGAGAAGCAGATTCCCTGTTGAGCAGGGAGCCTGAAGCAAGACTTAGTCCCAGGACCCTGAGATTACAACCTGAGCTGAAGGCAGACCCTCAGCCGACTGAGTCACCCAGGTGCCTGCTTTTGGGTTTTTAATATAATTGTTGTTACATTGTACCTTTGAGTAATATCCTTCATCTGTATTATAGAAATCTTACAATAATATACTTCATTTCCTCTCTCATGGCCTTTGTACTATATTTTGTCATATATTTTATTTCTATATACTGATAGGGGTGTTAAAAATACAGTTTTGTCTATTTTTCATTAATTGTGATTTTTTGCTTAATGTATTTTGAAGACATGTTTAGGATTGTAATGTCTTCTGGACATACTATCCCCTTTACCATTATGAATTGTGTATGTTTATTGCTGGAAATATTTTTTGTTCTGAAGTCTGCTTTTATATTTTTTTATGTTAATATAGCCTCAGTAGCTTAGTTATGATTAGAGCTTCTGTGGTATATCCTTCTTTGTTTTTTTACTTTATTCCATCATTGTCCTTGTGTTTTAAAATGTGTCTCTTTAATAGTATGTAGTTGAGTTTCTTTTTTTATTTATTATTTTTTTTAAAGATTTTATATATTTATTTGTCAGAGAGAGAGTGAGCACAAGCAGCGGGAGCATCAGGCAGAGGGAGAAGCAGGCTTCCCGCTGAGCAGGGAGCCCAATGTGGGACTCCATCCCAGGACCCTGGGATCATGACCCGAGCCGAAGGCAGACTGAACCAACTGACTGAGCCACCCAGGTGTCCCTGAGTTTCTTTTTTTAAACACACTCTAATAAACTCATTTAATTCAAGTTCTTAAGTTCATTTTAATGTAATACAATTATTGATATGGTCAGGTTTGAGGTCTGCCACTTTGGTATTTTCTATTTTTCCATATATTACTTATTCTGTATTCCTCTTTTCTTGCCTTCTTTAGAAATTAAGTTTCTAGGATTCTCCATGTTAATATTACATTTTATCTTCTCTATTTTTCACATACTTTTAAAATTGTATTTCTAGTGGTTTCTCTAAAGATTATAAAATGCTTTTTATAGCTAACCTTAAGTTTATAGTATGCCACTTCAAGGATGATGTATTCATAGTCAGTACTGAATATATACTATTTTTTGGAAAATGTAAAGTTCACAATAATTCAGTTTACCAAAATCCTGCTTTTTGTGATTAACTATTATAAACCACACTAAATAGTTGTTTTTGCTTTAAATAGTTAATAGCCTTTTTTTTTTTTTTTTAAAGATTTCATTTATTTATTTGACAGAGAGAGAGACAGGAGAGAGGGAACACAAGTAGGGGAAGTGGGAGAGGGAGAAGCAGGCCTCCCGCTGAGCATGGAGCCTGATGCGGGGCTCGATCACAGGACCCCGGAACCATGACCTGAGCCGAAGGCAGCCGCTCAACCGACTGAGCCACCCATGTGCCCCAATAGTTAATAGCCTTTTGAAGATATGATGCAAAAAACCCCCAGAAAAATAAAAAACCTTCTTTAAGTCCAATATTTACCCTTTTAGATGTTTTCATTTTTTTCTTGCATATCTGAGCTGGCATCTGGCTCATTTCCTTTTGTCAGTATAACTTTTTAAACTATTTCTTGCAGAGTTGATAGTTCTGTTCTCTATGGAAGTCTAGTTTTTTTTTTCTTTTTAGTACTTTTCATTATCTTTTTGCTTCTTTATTTTTGATGAAATTAGCAGTCATTCTTACTATTCTTTCCATAAAGATAGTATAGCCTTTTTCTCTCTAGTTGCTTTTAAGATACTCTTCTTTTTTTTTTAGAGATACTCTTTTTGACATTGGTTTTCTGTAGTTTGATAGTTTTTGGTTTTATTTAAAAAAATATTTATCCTGTTTGTTTTACAGTACCAGAGGATCTGTTCTTTGAGCATTGTGAAGGTTTTTTCAGCCCTATGCTTTCCTTTTCCTCTAGTATTCCAGTTATATGTTAGAATGTTTTATATTATCCTACATATTTCTGGTGTTCTCTTTTTATTCCTTTCTCTCTATGAATTGGTATAAATAACTTATATTGGACTGTCTTTGAGTTCATTATTTCTTTCCTCAGCTTGTCCAGTCTGCTCCTAACCCCATCCAATGTTTTTTTATTTCAGTCTTTGTATTCTTCATTTTTTTTCAATGTTTATTTATTTAAGTAATCTCTACACCCAATGTGGGGCTGGAACTCATGACCCTCAGATCAAGAGGCACATGCTCATCTGGCTGAGCCAGCCAGACACCCCTGTATTCTTCATTTCAAAGATTTACATTTTGTTCTTTCAATTTCTTTTCTGTAATTCATTTTTTCACTTGTTTTGTCTATTTTTCCTCTTAATTCCTTAATAATTTTTAGTAATGTTTTAAAGTCCTTTTTGCCCATTCCAGCATTTGGATCATCTGTTAATTTCATTCTTTTGCCTGTTTTTTCTTTTGACTTTCCACCTTCTTTGCATGTTTTTTAATTTTTTAAATTGTAGTTTAGACATTCTGTATTCAGAATTGGTATAGAGACTATAGTAGTTAATACTATCTTCCAGAAAGGTCTTGCCTTTTCCATTTTCAGGGAGCAAGGATAAGAGATTGATTTCTGGCCTAATCAGGAATTTAGCTGAGTTGGGGTTCAGTTGTTGCTTCAGTTTCAGTCCGTTGACTTAAAGTGTATAGTTGACCCTTGAACAACATGGGTTTGAACTGTGCAGGTCCACTTATAAACAGGTTTTTAAAAATAAATACTATAA